GGGCGCCATCGGCGCTTCGGACAGCTGGCCTGCAGGGGCGGGGAGGTGCAGATCGCCCATTCGACGGGTGCCGGCGGGATCGGGCTCGGCCTGCTTGCTTTTTCCTCCTCGGAGCAAACCACGACCTCCAGCGGCAGGCAAACTCGTCAGCCTCGGATCAAGGAGCTGCCTCCAAATGCAAGCATGGCAAGTGCACCAGCTGTCCAGAAGTCATATACGTACGACCCCTACAGTGTAGGGGTAGGGCTCACGTGTGGTTGCTTGGAGAGGTTCCCGCGTCCGCATGGTCTCCACGCCGGGCGGTGGCATCCGTCTTCGGGCAGGTGGGGGCGCAAGCGGCGTCGGACGTGCTCCACCCGCCCCGGCCCTGAGGAGAGCGAGCCTCCCCCTCCCTCATGGCGCTGGTGGCTGGAGTCGGCGTCACCCAAACATACTTCTACTATATGTGCGTCGCCCCCCCAAGGGGCGACGCGCGCCCCGTGGAATCTCATAGCATATGCGTCGTGGCGGGCCCCTTTTGGCCACAACGCTCGGGAAACGATCTGCTGCAAGATGGATGTGCCATATGTTCGGGTCGGACGCGCGCCTCCGAGGAGGACATCTAGTATCAGTATGTCTCTGTGCGTCCCATGGAGAGGTGTCCCCCTCCAGCTCTCCGAGCGCGAAGGCGATCGCGCGCCGCGGTGCGCGCCGCGCCGGGCGCGGAGCCGGGTGACCTGTAGGCGCCGGCCATTCCGGGCCAGGCCAGGAGGCCACCCAGCGGCGGGCCCGCTTGCCGGGGGGCTCTCGGCTCTCGGGCCCGTGCCCGCCGATGTTCCCCCCTCGTGGGCGCCCCGCGCAGGGGGGGGGGGCGGCGCGCGAGGGGGGGTCTTCCGAGCAGGGCCGGGGGGTTCTCGGGCGGCAGGGGCTTGGCTTCTTCTGAGGAGACTCCCGCCCTCCAAGAGCACGGCCGCCTTCTCAAAAGGCCGCCCTGGCGCGCGCGCCGCCAGCCGCGGGTGCACGCAAGGAGCGGCCCTTCGCCGGGGAGGGCCTTCGGTGCGGTCTCGCGGCGGCCTGCGCGCCTGGACCTGGTCCCTCCCCCCTGGCGGTCCCTGGAGGGGGGAGGAGACGAGGCCTTCGGCCTCTCCTCCTCCTCCTCCTCCTCCTCCTCCTCCTCTCCTGCTCCCTCCTCCTCCTCCTCCCCTCCTCCTCCTCCTCCTTCTCCTCCTCTCCTCCTCCTCATCCTCCCCTCCTCCTTCCCCCTCCTACTCCTCCTCTCCCTCCCTCTCCTCCTCCTCCTCCTCCTCCCCCCTCCTCCTCCTCCTCCTCTCATCCTCATCCTACCCCTCATCCTCCGCATCCCTCCTCCTCATTCCTCCTCCCCCTCCTCCTCCTCCTCCTCCCTCTCCTCCTCCTCCTCCTCTCTCCTCCTTCTCGCCTCCTCCTCACTCTCTTCCTGCCTCCTCCTCCTCCTCCTCCTCCTCTTCATCCTCCTCCCCTCCTCCTCGCCTCCTCCTCCTCCTCCATCCTCCTCCTCATCCTCCTCCTCCCTCCTCCCCTCTCCTGCTCCCTCCTCCTCCTCTCCTGCCTCCTCCTCCTCCTCCTCCTCTCTCCTCTGCTGCTCCTCCTCCCCTCCTGCCTCCTCCTCCCCTCCTCCTCCTCCTCCCTCCTCCTCTCCTCCCTCGCTCCCTCCCTCCCCCTCCCCTCCCCCCTCCCTCCCTCCTCCCCTCCTCCTCCCTCCTCCTGCTCCTCCTCCACCTCCTCCTCCTCCTCCTCCTCCTTCATCTTCTTCCTTCACCGACTGAAGCCTGAAGCTGCACTGATGATACATGCATGACAAGCCAGCAAGCAAGGGGTGAGCGGCCTGTCCTCACCCAGCTTGCTGAACATCGGGAGCGAAATTGCCCCCTCCGTGAGCACTGTAATACGGATCAAACGGCACCTGCAATTTACGCACAACATCGTCTATCTCTGGGTCACCAACGATAGATGCAAGGCCAGAGACGGACAACATCATCGCTTGTGCCAGCATCTTAGACATTCTGGGTGGGTACGGCTTGGTCGCCGCCGTCCTAAAGGCCCCAGAAGCATGAGTACCAACTAATTCCAAACTGTGGGAACTGCACCTGCACTTACCCTGGCCAGGGAGAGCACGGATTAGGCCGGGCAGCGCCAACACATTCATGGCCAACAACGTCGTCGGCTTCCGAGACGGGGCACCACAACAACACTGGCCAAACTTTACAAACCTGACGGATGCACGGGGTCGACATCCCAAGAGGGCCTTCACTTCTGGAAGCTTCCAACTCGATGGCATATCGGCACATTCGGGCTCGGCGGGGTGTACAACAAGACAGGCCGCCCCCACCGCACAACAAACGTAAGCCGCCTGCAACATTGTCTGTAACAAGCGGTTGCCTAACATCACCTCCCTCAACTCTTTGGGGGACCTGCACGCAATACCCCATATATACTGTGCAGAACGCAGCAAGCGGGGCTTACAACTTCCGTGCGGGGGGGGGGGGGGGGGCACGGGCTTTGCTCCACGTTTGACACGGCGGCCCTCCAATCACCCCCAACGCCTGTCTAGTCCAGAGCATGACAAGGACCAACCTAACAGAACTCTGCGTCGTTAAATCCCCAGCCTCTGGATCATTGGCGACGTCGACTGACAACATCACGACTGGCCAGGATGTGTTCCTCTGGAGCGCCTCAACATACATCTGCACGTCACCTTCGCGCCTCTGCCCGCTGAAAAACACGCCAAACATATTTGGTTTCTGTAGGAGTTCGAGGGACCACGGGAACAGCATCCACCCCAGGACCATCACGGCTCTCAACTCCTACAGTCGAGGCTCGCACAACTGCCTGTGGCACCACTCCACCAAGAGTCGGACCCACAATTCGCTCGGGTGGTGCATCTGCAGACAGCCGCGCGCCACCTCGAGAGCGCACGCTCTTGGCAACTTTTGAATCTTCCTCGCGCAGCGCCACAATCTCAGGCACGCTGAGGGGCTGCAAACAATGCATGAGCAAGGGTAGACACTTGCGAGATCCAAACCTCAAGTGCCTCAGCAAACGTCCTCGCGTGTGCCAGTTGTACCCACAAGCTTGGCAGCACGAGCCGACGGCAACATATCCAGCAACATCAAATTGCGGATGAGCGAGAGTCCGATGGCGCGACCAAGCCACTTGACTATTAAAAATTTGATCGCAATCGCGGCACGGGAAAACGAGCTCGGCTTTGGGAGGCCTGATGGCTGGTGGCACGGGCAAGCCTCCCTTCTCGCAGATCTTGTTTAGCTCGGACCTCCACACTGCTACTTCGGCCAACGCAACATGCTGCGCCAGTGCACTTCTTTCGGCCTCCCTGCACCAAGAGATCCATGGTTTCCCATCTTGCCTGGCCACCTGGAGCCACCACGCGAGCCCACCTACGGGGCTCCACTCACGGCGGAGGCGGACCGTCACACGGTCTTGCATCCAGAGAACATCTTGATGGATATGCAAAGCGTAGCACACGCAGCACAAACCGCAACCGACGAAGGCGTAGCATATCCATAGGCGGGAGACGCTGACTAGCAACATATAGCTCGGCATTCGACCACCCTAGAAATTCATCCCTTGCTTTTTGTATCCCACGGCCGCCCTGAGGGACGTCAAGTACGCCCCTTCCAAGAACGTCACATTTCCCGAGGAAAGCGTACCCCATACAGCACCGTGGAAAAGCATCCTGCTGTGACAGAAGGCCATAGCGAACTTAAAGCGAGAGGCCAATTCCAAATCATTGTTACGCTGAAAAACAGCACCCCGTAACCCACCTAGCACACTCAACTGCGACCGAGTGCGATGGGCCAACTCGGCGTTCATGCCGCTGTCATGGATCATGGAACCAAGATGCTTGCACACGCGCGCCAGGTACACACTTTTGCAAATACTGGGCACACACACAAACTACCTTTAAGCGCGCCAACGCTGTTACGTACCACTTTACTCCCCCTCCCGACGGGATTTAAGAGGAGGGTGGACTTTCCTTCTCCGAAATTCACACTGAGCCCCGCACGCTCATTTCATTGTTGACGATAGCCACGATAACACGAGCAAGCTGCAAGATGCCATATGCACTAGCACAGGCCTGCAGCACGGTAAGGTCGTCCACACACGAGGGCGAGCCTATCGGAGCATCAAGGCCTGCTCCTGACTCTCGGAAACAACAGCTCGCACCAGGCGCTACCTCCTGAGCGTCCAGTAGGTCGGCAGGCGGCATCCCTGGACGAGACCCCGTAGGGGCCTTCGCAACTTCCTTACACCCTTTGACTTGAAACCAGGACGAATAATTGATATCCGCGACCATATCCTGTAGGTGCCTGCTGCCAACTAACTCAAACGAAGACGGCTGTGCCAAAATCTGTCGCATCACCCCTTCCAGCGCGAGGGGCAGCTGCAACTCATCAATCACACTTTCCAAACCATCCTCCCCTCCTGGTATCTTCATTAAAAACTCACGAATCACAGTGTGAAACGCGGCCCGAAGGTCGGTGAAGAACAAAACGGTAGACCGTCCCTGACGTTTCATGAAGTGCTGGAGCACGCGAATCTGCAAGGAAGCCCCGGCCGTACCCCTCCCTGGTCTAGCCCCATGCTGGTCGGCATCCATAAGCACCGAGGGTACCTCAAGTATTTTGCGACGCAGGAACTTATGATGATGCTTGCACACATGCACGCCCAATTAGATCTCCCTAACATTGGATAAGAAACGCGGGTCTCCCTTCTTGTAGAGATCATGGGCCACTCCACCTTTCCAAGCAAGAGGTTCCCTGCACATGAATTGAACTTTCAACAACAAGGGCAACAACAACTGTGCACTAACGTCAGGGGCCTCCTCCTCCTCCTCCTCCTCCTCCTCCCCTCCTCCTCCTCCTCCTCCTCCTTCTACTCCTCCTCCTCGTCCTCCTCCTCCCTCCTCCTCCTCCTCCTCCTCCTCCTCCTCCTCCTCCTCCTCCTCCTCGGGCCCCCTGCAGGCGGGCTCGGGGGGGCCGGACCTGGGCCAGCTGGCGTGGACTGGCGGGAACAGGCGGCGACCGCCCCGCCCGCTGCCGCCGCCCCCCAAGCCCGCGCCACGCGCCCCATGGCGGGAAGTTTTTTTTTTTTGCTGTTTTCGGCCTCTGGGGGCCCTTGCCGGCCCTCGGGACCGTCAAACAGCGACTCAGGATGAGAAACCGGTCCAGGGGAATGGGTCGAGACCTCCAGGGGTCGACGTAATGAAAAAATCATGACGTCGGGGGCTTGGCCCCCATGGATTTGCCCCGCCGCCGCCGCCTCCCAGCCCACGTGCGCCCGGCGCCCTCTAACTAGGCGTAAGTCGGGCCGGTCCTTCTACAGGGAGGAATATTCCAAAATAGTCAAAAAAAAGTCGGGGGACGAGTTTTCGGCTATTGTTGAGCATTTTGTTTTTTTGGGGGGGGGGGGACACGCCCGACTTAAAACTATGCTTCGTCCGATCCCCGCGTTTTTCGCCGCTTTCGGCCCTCTGGGCCAGTGATTTGGTCGGACAGGGCTGCGACGAGGATTCCGTTCCAAAGCGTTCGGGGACGCTCTGAGAAGGCCGCGGCGCCCGATACATCCTCCAGAGCCGCCGGATCTCAGAGGTATCTCGATTTATCCTCACCCGAATTTGTCCTCGTCCTGGCTCCGTCTTCATTGAGCCCCCAGCCATCAAAAGCAGACCTGGGACGACAAACTGCACCCAGGGGAGGGGTCAGGAGCGCGCCTCCGCCGCCTCGCATTCGCCTCTGGTCGGCGGTGCGCTGGAGGGGGGGGGCGAGGGGCGAGGGGGGGGGCGGCCTTCCAGGGAGGCAAGGGAGGGGATCTGCGGCTCCTGACGCGCGCCTCCGCCGCCCCGCCGCCGCCTCTGGTCGGGGGTACGCTAGAGGGTGGCGGGGCGGGGGTGGGCGGCCTTCCAGGGAGGCAGGCCGGTTCTCGGAGGGGACTTGCGGCTCCGCTCCTCGCCGCCACGGCTGGCCTCGCCTCGAGGTCCAAGTTGGAGCGCGCCCCCGGGCGGGCCCCCCCTCTCTGGGAGGCCCGCGCTGCCTTCTCGGAGGCCCCCCCCTCGCCCCGCCCGAGCTTCCTGCGCGCCGCCAGTCTGCCCCCTGCTCCGCTTCGCTCCCCCTTTCTCTGTATACGATGGTGCAGGCCTGGCCGGTGGCAGCACCTGCGTAGCTCTATCTCTCACCTCACTGTGCGCTGCCCTGAGGGCGCACCCTCTCTTCTGCGCTGGCAGGTCCTCTTCCTCCAGTGCCGCGCGAGTGTGGACGCAGCGCGGACTCCCAACCCGTCCAGAGAATGGTAAGCCCGCCGCTAGTGACGAGAAGTGTGAACACGGACATGAGGAATGAGTCTGTGTCGGTATGTACGGCAGGTTCGTGCCGTTTCGACGCGGCGGTGGTCCAAGCGCGGGCGTTCGGCCGACATCGAACCTTTTGCGGTATCGCGTTCGGTCAAGGTTGAACGGTCCACGCGATGTCAGAAGCCACCGGTGGGTTTGTCACGACACGAACCTGCCGTACCAGGAGAACCGCCTTACTGCAGAACGTGCCCCCGCCTTGAACCTCAGATCCACGCCCTTCATTTCGCTTCCTTCCTGTCCCGCGCGCCCCTCATCCTCCTCACCCTTCTTCGTAATGTGGCGGGGGATCAGGATGATGATGTTGATGCTGCTGATGATGGTGATGCCGATGATGATGATTATGATGATGATGATGATGATGATGATGATGATGACGAGGATGATGCTGCTGCTGATGGTGATGATGCTGCTGATGCTGATGATGCTGATGCTGATGTTGTTGGTGATGGTGATGATGATGATGATGATGATGATGATGATGAGGATGACGGTGAAAGTGATGATGATGCTGATGATGATGATGATGATGATGATGCCGATGGTGATGCTACTGCAGCTGATGATGATGAGGATGATGATGATGACGATGCTGATGCTGATGGTGATGATTATCCTGATGCCGATGATGATGTTGCTGATGATGCTGATCATGATGATGTTGGTGGCGGTGGTGATAATGGCGTTGCTGCTGCTGCTGATGATGATGATGATGATGATGATGATGATGACGATGACGTTGGTGGTGGTGGTGGCGGTTTATGGTGATGCTGATGCTGATGCTGATGATGATGATGATGATGGTGATGATGATGACGACGATGCTGCTGATGACGCTGCTGCCGATGAAGACGATGACATTGATGGTGATGATGGTGGTGATGGTGGTGGTGATGGTGGTGGTGATGGTGATGCTGCTGCTGCTGCTGCTGATGATGATGATGATGATGATGATGATGATGATGATGATGATGATGATGATGGGGATGAGGATGATGAGGATGATGATGAGGTTGATGATGATGCTGATGCTGGTCATCCTGATGATGATGCTGATGATGATGGTGCTGATGATGAGGAGTAGGAGGAGGCGGACGAGGAGGAGGAGGAGGAGCAGGACGATACGGAGAAGCTGATGGAGGATGACGAGTAGCGGGTGATGGAAGAGTAGCAGGACTAGGATTATGAGGAGGAGGAGGCGGAGGAGGAGGAGGAGGAGAAGCAGGGATGGTGATGTTGATGCTAATTATGACATTGCTGGCGATGATGATGATGATGATGATGATGATGATGATGATGATGATGATGATGATGATGATCATGATCATGATGATGATGCTGATGATGATGATGCTGATGATGATGGTGATGATGATGGTGATGCTGATGATGATGATGATGATGATGATGGTGAGTGATGATAACGGTGATGATGAGGAGGAAGAGGAGGTGGAATATGATGAGGAAGAGGGGGATGATGAGGATGAGGACAATGATGAGGATGACGATGACGATGACGATGACGATGATGATGACGAGGCTGATGATGCTGATGATGATGATGCTGTTGCTGATGATGTTCATGATTATGCTGATGGTGATGACGATGATGATGATGATGATGATGATGATGATGATGATGATGATGATGATGATGATGATGATGATGATGATGATGATGATGATGATGATGATGATGATGATGATGATGATGATGATGATGATGATGATGATGATGATGATGATGATGATGATGATGATGATGATGATGATGATGATGATGCTGATGATGATGATGATGATGATGATGATGATGAGGCTGATGATGCCGATTGTGATGCTGCTGATGATGCTGATAATGCTGATGATGATCATGCTGAGGATGCTGATGCTCATGATGAGGAGGAGGAATATGATGAGGAGCATCATGATGATGCTGATGATGGTAATCATAATGATGAGGATGCTGCTGCTGCTGCTGCTGCTGCTGATGATGATGATGATGATGATGATGATGATGATGATGCTACTCATGCTGCTGATGATGATGATGATGATGACGATGTTGATGGTGATGCTGATACTGCTGCTGATGATGATGCTGATACTGATGCTGATGATGATGCTGATGATGATGATCATGATGATGATCATGATGATTATGATTCTAATGATGATGCTGATGGTGATGCTGATGCCGACGATTACGCTGCTGCTGATGATGGTTATGATGAAGAAAAAGAAGAAGCATATTAAGAATAAACAGAATATTTTGAATCAGAAGAACCATGAATCATACTACTCATAATTAATAAGAAGGATGATAATACTACGAAGAATAGTGATATGATTAATAATAAGAAGAAGACGGATAATAATAAACATAATAATACGAGTAATAAGAAGAATGATAATAATGATAATAAGAAGAGGAAGAGGAAGAGGAGGAGGAGGCGCAGGACGGGGACGAGGTCCGAGCATTGGGCGAGGAAGAGGCCCCGCGGCGAGGAGCCCCGCCACGTGGCGAGGAGCCCCGGCCCCCCCCAGAGGTGCGCCTTCGCCCGCGCCGGTGGCCGCCCTAGCCTCTCCTTGGAGCTCCGCGCCTCCTGCGGCCCGCGCGGCGAGCGCTCCCTGGGCGAGGCCGAGGCGCGCCGCCTGGCCGCCGCCTGCCTGCGCGCGCTCGCGGCGAGGCTGCTGTGCGCGCTCGCGGCGAGGCTGCTATGTGGCCTCGCTCGGGTAAGCTTGTGAGAGCTGGTGCGCGAGGGCGTGGGGATCTAGAGCGGATCCTTAGGCAGATTTGCGCCACGGATAGGACCCCTCACATCGCCGCGCTGTGCATCTAGGGCATATTGTATGACTGTAACTTCTCAGATCGCGCCACCGCCCAGCGGCACCTTGCAGCGTCAGTTTTGCACAGAAGGTGCGTCTCGGATGTCTCAGTCACGGCCATGCTGGAGCACAAGAGGTGTGCTGGAGCACAGGCTTACCCCGGCTTGCTGCCCGGGTAAGCCTGTACTCCAGCCACGCTCTTCTTGGCGGTAGCGGCCTCGCGCGCGGCGACGAGGCGGGGCAAGTCGAACCACAGTGCGCCCCCTGCCCTCAGGCATCACCTAGGATGCCGAACCCACGGCACACAGGTACAATATCTTCACGGTCGCAGCGTACTCCGCCGCCGGCGGCTCCATTCTCCCTCCGCGCCTCGTCCCTTTTTCCTGTTGTGCCCGCTCCGGTGTGTCCATCGGCTGTCCCGACCACGGTTTGGGCTCAAGTCGCCGCTGACGAGCACGTTCACTTTTCACGTGATTCTTAAGCTGTTTCTCCACCGCGCAGCCTACAACACGTAGCTTGCACCCCGTAGCTTGCAACGCATAGCTTGCACCACCTGGCTTGCACCTCCCAGCTTGCACCACATAGCTTTCGCAACAGAGCTTGTGCCGCATAGTTGACACCGCATAGGGTGAAGCACACCACATACCTTACGCCACAGAGCTTGCGCATCCACAGTGTAATATATTGTTTGAGGTCCACGCTGGTAAACATGTTCTTCGCCTCTGGGAGACCTCTCGTTGCCGCGGCGGGATCTGCCGCGAAATACTTGCCAGAGCGCACCCCAGGATCGGTCCCGCGGGCGACGTTTCATTTCACAGCTCGGACCCCCCCGGCGTCTTGAAGCAATCACGACGGGATGCGGCGCTCGATTCTCGAGTCTTTCGGGCGTACTCGTACGCTCCCAAGAGGGTGTCCCAGGCGTGGGGTACTTCCAGCAGCTGCGCCTCGCCGAGGATGTTCCAGGTGTATCCGAACCGCCCTGGACGGCCGCTGGAGACCCGAGTTGCGGCCCGAAAGCCAGACCTCCCTCGCGTCCTGGGAAAATCGATAGACGTGTATTGTAGTGGCCTCCGGCCAGTGCCGCCGATCCGGGGCGCTCCTGATGTTATCGGGATTGGATGGTGACGACGACAACGGACGACCAACGATCGACGAGCGGGATAATTACGACGACGACCGACGGACGGGGTAACGACGATGATTGACGACGACGATGACGATGACGACGATGATGATGATGACGACGACGAGCACAAACACGAACACGATCACGAACACGAACACGACGACGACGACGACGACGACGACGGCCGTCTTGGCGGCCTCTTGGGCCGTCTTGGCGGCCTCTTTGGCCGTGTTGGGCCCACTTCGGGCATCCTGGAGCGATCATTCGGCGTCCCCACCCCCCGTCCCCGGCAGAGCCACTCTGGCACCTTGCCACCAGCTGAGCTGAAGTCGAATCTGGTGGATTTTAATGTGTTCCAGCCCCCCCTGGCGAAACCAGAGAACTGGGGCCCCCCCCCCTCCCCCCCCTCTTCCGGAACCAGAGATCTGGAGCCCCCCCCCCCGCCCTGGGAATTGGAAAACTGGCGCACCCTACCTCCCTCTTCCCTCCGGAACCAGAGAACTGGCGCACCTTCCCCCCCCCGCGGCGCGCCCCCAGAACCGGAGAATTGGAGCACCCCCCACACCCCCCCTTCCCCGGCAGAGCCACCCTGGCACCCCCTTCACCTGAGCTGAAACTCTTGCTCTAGAATGAAACCTGAGCTTTAGCTAGAGCTTTTTCAAACTAACACGCCAGATCGGCGAATTTTGTTTGTTTTGCGTTTTCGCCCTCCTGGAGGTCCTCACTGGGCTTCAGAGCCGTCAGAAAACGACTCAGGTTGAGAAGCCCGTCGCAGGGAAAGTGGTATAGACCTCCAGGGGTCCACGTTAACGTTGTGATGCAATCACGACGTCGGAGGTCGAGGATTTTCGGTTGCTGCACGATTTGTGAGTCCAGCTCTGTGTGTTCACTTTCGCTTCGTTGCGCCGCGGTAGAGCTTCGTGAAACGAAATCACGGCGGAAGGGTTCGGGCTGTTTTCGTCTTCCGCGTCTTCCGGTGGCCCGTGCCCGGCCCCAGGACGGTCTCAGGCTCAAGGGCTTCTGGGGGGCCGGTGCTCGGGAAAGGGACGGGATTTTTGCGCGCTGCGAAAAAGTCACGACGTCGGAGATTTGGGCCCCCAGCCCGAGGCCCCCTCCTGGAGATTCCACGCGTCCTCGAGACGACCCCCTCCTGCCGACAGAGCTCGCCGCTTCCCCGGAGCTGTCGGCCCCACCCCCGAGCACGGCTGCTCTTCCCGGCGGGCCGTCGCTGAATGGGCCCCCAGGACCGGAGCCTCCAGTGGCCAAAAACAGGGACAGACAGACCGGCCGCCTCGATTTTTTCGGTGGCCACATGGGAACCTTACCCCCACCCTTCACGAGTTCTAAGGGGTGGTGAGGGTTCATTTCGTTCGGGAGGTCCTGAGCGGAGTGAACCCCCACCTCCTTTTTCTCGTTTCTAGGGTCGTATAGCTTGGGCCGTTCGGCACGATCCGGGCACCCCAGAGCACCCTCGGCGAGGCGCAGGTGCTGGAGAGTGTCTCGAGGCTGGAAGCCTTGTCTCTCCGGGAGCCTGCGAAGAAGCGCAAGAAGACGTCGCATCAGATTTTAGCATGACGTCGGAAGGCACCGTCTGGGAATGGGGGGCCACCATCAGCTGGACCCTCGGAGGGAGTCTGGCGGAGCGGCCCGCCGAGAGGGTCAGCCTGAGACCTCGCCTCCAGAGGTGCGGGCCGAGGAGGAGGAGGCGGAGGAGGCGGAGGAGGAGGAGGAGGAGGACCAGTGGAACCCAAGAGTCATCAACGATGTTGGAATTCACCCTCCCTAGCGAATCAACATAACTGTTGCGCCCGCATAATCCAGATTTTTTCCAAAACGCTATTTCTCGTGCGTTGATCCTGGGAATCCGTGAAACTTTTGCGATTTTTGAAAACGAATGTGCGCGTCGCTAAGGCGAGAGCCACATTTTGAAAAGGAGCCGCCCTCCTGTGAAACTGTTGTAATTTTTCAAGACGAATGTGCGCGGCGCTGAGGCGAGAACCGCATTTTGAAACGGAACTGCCCTCAATCCTTGAAGCTCAACGAATGTGCGCGGCGCTATGGCGAGAGCCACATTTTGAAAACCACCCGTCCTCAATCCGTGAAGCACTTGCAATTTTTCAAACGAATGTGCACGGTGCTGAGGCGAGAGTCACATTTTGAAAACCACCCGCCCTCAATCCGTGAAGATCTTGTAAATTTTCCATACGAATGTGCGCGGTGCTAAGGCGAGAGCCACATTTTGAAAACCACCCGCCCTCAATCTGTGAAGATCTTGCAATTTTTCAAAGCGAATGTGCGCGGTGCTAAGGCGAGAACCACATTTTGAAAACCACCTGCCCTCAATCCGTAAACTCTTGTAAACTAAAAACGAATATGCGCGGTGCTGAGGCGGGAGCCACATTTTGAAAACCACCCGCCCTCAATCTGCGAAAAAGTTGCCACTTTAAGTTTCAGAATCATGATTTATGAGGAAGTCTCAGGCGAAACGCCCAGCCCGCCTTAAAAACTAGCTTCGGGGTGAGACAGGGAGGGGTTATCTCAAGCTAGGTGCGCTCGCAACATATCTGACATCCTACCCTCCCTCCCATCCCTTACCATGGCGTGATGCCCTCTCTACTCGCACAGTCGGATGTCGAGCAGGGCAATGATCCCGAAAGGGTACGCGATGCATTGTAGAGCACGGCATGGCATGGCGTAGAAGAGCACCGCGAAGCGTAGTATGTCACAGCATGGCGTGGCGTGGCGTAGTGAAGAATTGCATCACAAAGCTTTGCAACGCAAAGCAGCATGGCATCGCACAGCGGCCCCGAACATAACATTGCATAGCATGGCGTTGAAGATCAACGCGTAGCATGGCATAGCACGACGTGGCACTTAAGCACTGCATATCACAGCTTCAGCTGAAGGCATGGCATCGCGCAGCGGAACGCAACCTAGCATTGCATTGCATGCCGTGGCATGTCACGGGAAATGACGCCAGCGCTGCAGCGGGAGCACGATTCGGAACGAGAGGAAGCGCGGAAATGAGGCCAGAGCTGCAGCGGGAGCACGATTCGGAACGAGCGGAAGCACGGAAATGAGGCCAGCGCTGCAGCGGGATCACGATTCGGAACGAGCGGGGCCCGAAAATGAGGCCGGCGCCTCAGCGAGAGCAGCATTTTGAAACAAATGCAGGCGACAACCCAACTCCGGGGAATCCTGGTTGTAAAAAACAGTACGCGGGGGGGCGAACACTCCCAACCCGTCATCAGGGGAAGGAGCAGAGTAGTATTCATATTGAGTAATTGTATAAGGAGAAGGGATGGAGGAGGAGGAGGAGGAGGAGGAGGAGGAGGAGGAGGAGGAGGAGGAGGAGGAGGAGGAGGAGGAGGAGGAGGAGGAGATAGTCCACCCCGCCCAGGCTCTCGCGGGTTTTGCTATCGGATGCCTATCGCCGGTTCCAGGTCGATGTTCCATCCCCCAGTGTGCCAGTCCCCCCCCCTGTCGTTGTCCCTCCTGATGGGTATAGCTCAGCGCCCTTTGGCCTCCCAAGCTCCTGCTAGAGGGATTCCTTGTGAGCCTAGGGTCTCGGGTTTCCTCCTCGGTCGTTGTCCCTCCGCCGTGGTGTTTCCCCTGGCCCTCGTTTCGTTCGCTTTCGGGCCCTCGTTCGGTCCCCCCCTTCGTCGGGTGTTTCAGAGCTGAGGCTTGTCGCCAGCTTACGGCCAAATTAATCACTCGGGAGCCTAGCAGGAGCCTCTTGTGGCCTCCTTTGTGGGCTTCTTGAGCGAAACTCGTTGGCCTCCAGGGAGTCTGTGGACCAGGGCGTGTTTGTTACAGTTCTGCGGCCACGAGGAGCTCTGGATAGCAAAGTGCAGGGGTGCGGCGAGTGGGTTCGCACCTGGCAGGTTTCAGGACGTCTGCCAGACAGCCAAGAGGCATCTTAGCACGAACTCGCTGCATCATTAGTCCGGTGGTGCATCAGTTTTCAGTCTCGAAGCGTGGATCAACTTCAACAAATGCCCGAGCGCTCCGCACCAGGGTCTATGCAATGAACAGAATCTTGCCAGCGTGGGCCACAAGCAGTAGGTTCCTCCAGTCGCGAGGGGCAACCACTGTGTCGCAACCTGTGCAGAGTGCAACTTATGAGGTCCATTCTACGCGGGGGACCTCATGGGACGCCAGCAGGACATCGCAACCGCCAGGGGCAGCGGGACCGGGTGGACATCGCAGCAGCCGTGGGCAGCGGGAATAATTACGGGCGGCCACCAGAGCACTGGAACGACCAGGGGCAGCGGGACCGGGGTCCGCATGGGTGGCCACCAGGAAGCCGTAACAGCCGGGCGCGGGCACCCACCAGAGCATCGTAGCAGCGAGAGCCACCTCCACGCGGGCGAGAGCCCCCGAGCGCATGCTCTGCTCCGTGGGGGCCAGGAGCGCTTGTGCAGCGGGCTGCGCGAGCCAACGCTGGCCTCCTGCCCTCGGGCTCGGCCCCAACGCCTCGCCGGCCGCAGCGGACCGCGGGCCCGCCCCCAGCGCCCGCGGCGCGCCGCGAGCCGGCCAGGGCGACGGCGACTTCGCCGCAGCATGGCCCCGCCGCTTCCAGGCGGCGTCGGCGCCCGCGGGCGGCCCCCGCCGCGCGGCGCCCCGCGGCGACGGGGCGGCGCGGGGGCCGCAGGCCGCCTCATGCTGGGCGGCCGTCTTCCGCGGCGGCGGAGGGCGACGGGCTCTGCGCCGCGGGGGTCGGCGCCCAGCAGCTGCGCTGGTGCGCCCGGCGTGGCGGTGCGGCCGCCGCTGCCTGCTGTGGAGGCCAGTGGCCTGCGGTACCCACGGTACCCCAGCGTGGCGCGAAGGCGGGGGGCCCGCGTGTGGTCGGCGGGCGAGCCCTCCCTTCACAATGGCACCGACGAGAGCCCGCCGCTCCTGCTGTCCATGGTGGGCGAGGTCTTCGACGTGGGCTCGGGCGCCAAGCACCACGCCCCGCCAGGGCGGCGCCTACCGCGACTTCAGCGGCAGAGACAGTTCGCGGGCGATGGCCACGGGGGAGTTCAAAGAGGCCAGCCTGGTCCCCGCACGTCGCGGACCTGAAACCCGATGAGACAAGCGAGATCTTCTCGCGGCATCAGTTCTTCACAAACCACGATACATACCGTTTCGTCGGCTTCCTGGAGGGCCATGCCGATGGAACAGCTTCAGAAGTTGCGCGAGACGGAGGCCGCCCAGCAGCGGAATGACCAGCTGGTGAGCCAGCTGAAGAGGCGCTTCCGGGGCTGCAACCGGCGCACCAAGGGGAATAACGGGACCGAGAGCTGGCGCGATGACACGTACCACGGTCTTTGCAGTTGGCCCAGCTGCCTGTTCTTCTCGCTTCCTGGCAGGCGCAAGGAGGAGGCCTACTGCGCGTGCGCCGCGCAGCCGGCGCGGGAGGAGGTGGAGACCGAGCAGGCGGAGCTGAGGGCGAGGCCGCAGGCGGGGAGTGCCCGCGCGGGGCTCAGAGATGTCAGCGGCCGAAGGGGGCGCCGAGTCCGGAGTGAGGACAAGTGAGCGACGGAAGAAAACGGTGCCGATTGCGCCGACCTTCCTGAGTAGGAAGCTGTTCGCAGAAGGTCGCGCGTAGGCGCCCCCGCTTCCCATGCGCATCGCGCTGGCGGCCCGCGTGAGCCCGTGTGAGGTCGCCATGCCATCTCGTGTGAGATACGTTTCTTTTCCTCGCTCAGGTGTGAAAGGATGCAGAGGAGGAGGAGGAGGAGGAGGAGGAGGAGGAGGAGGAGGAGGAGGAGGAGGAGGAGGAGGAGGAGGATGAAGAGGAGGATGAGGAGGATGAGGAGGAGGAGGAGGAGGAGGAGGAGGAGGAGGATGAAGAGGAGGATGAGGAGGATGATGATGAGGAGGAGGAGGAGGAGGAGGAACCAGCGTTGCGGGCGCGACATCTTGTCGCTGACCCAGCAGTGCCTTCTGGCGTCGGACGGCCGATGGCAGAGACAAGGAAGCGCGTGGCTCGGGCAGGTGGCGAGAGCCCATTGAGGGCCCCAATAAGTTCGGTATCGGCTAACCGATCCCCATGCCCATCCCCATCCCCTTCGAGACCCCCACCAAATTACCACCCCAGTTGGGGATGCACCCCTCGAAACCCGAAGGGAGCGGCCTGTATCCCCGTCGAGGGGGGTAGATTGGCCAGTGGGGCCCAGGCCACGCCGCTGAGGATGGGGATGGGCTGAAGGATACTCGGAGAGGCAGGTGGGGAGGCCCGAAGGGGGGTCCCAAGAACGCACCAGGAGCCCCCAAGGAGGGGGAGAAGGAGGCCCAGAAGCTGGCAGCAGTGCGTCAACACCGGGTGTTGCTTACACCTTAGGCGATGCTTAAGAAAACTTGAGTTTTTGGCCAGAGTCTCTCTTAACGTTTCAATGTAAATCTTAAGCTTTTAATGGAAACGTTAGGTTTTTTATTCAAGTTCTGAGAACATGAATTTCTTAACCCATGATTTCTTAAGCATTTCGCAGGGTGTACACCGCGGGAAGAGGATCCCAGATCTCGGCAACGGCGGTAATACTCGGGCTTCTCAGGTGGCCTGAACACCACCTCATCAAAGCAGAGGATGACCTTCCTGTGGTTGAGGCGACCCTCGACATCTGTGTTGGTGCCAATTTCTAGGCCTCCGGTAGTTGGAGGGGGACCTCTGCTTATCCTTCTGCTCCTCCCCCTCTGCAGCCGTTTCGGCCGAAGGTTGCAGCCTCCTTCGTTGAGCGGTTGCTGGCTCGGAAAGACAACAGAGCATCAGGATGCCGTCCAAGCGCCGCAACAACGGACGTTCCAAGCACGGGCATGGCCACTCCGCCATCGTCCGGTGCTGCAACTGCGGCCGGTGCGTACCCAAGGACAAGGCCATCAAGCGCTTCCAGGTCCGGAACATGGTCGACGCGTCTTCTCAGCGCGACATCCGAGATGCCAGCGTGTACCAGACTTTCATGCTCCCTAAGCTCTACATGAAGATGCTCTACTGCGTCTCCTGTGCGATCCACGGCCGCGTGGTCAGGGTCCGCAACAAGGTGCTCCGCGCCAGCCCGGAGGGCCGTATCTACGTGCGCCCGACCTTCGGCAAGGGAGGCGGCAAGGGCAACTAGGGCGAGGCGACGCGTCGGCGCGCCAAACGGGGGGGGGATCCCTCCCTCTCGGAGTGCCCCCGCCTTCTTTCTTTCGTCGAGAACAAAAGAACCCCTACCCTTATAGCACGATGAAGACGTGGCCTCACTTAGGTCCCCGTCTTCGCATCATCATGGATAATTACTCTGGGCGATTTGGTCTGATACATCTGCGGAAAAGGCCCCCTATCCCTAATGTTTATGGCCCTCCTAGTTTAGGTCCCCTCCCAAAGGTTTAGGGATAATTTTTTGCTGTATCAGCTCTCTCTGGCGGAGAGGATCGGAGGGATGGCGGGGGTAGCTCTTCGAGGGGCAGCTCTGTCCGCAGCGCAGCAGAAGCCCTCCCACCTGCTGAGGAGGCCATCGGTTTTCTGGCCCCGGCCCCCGACCAAGCTTCGCTCGAAATTGGCTCCCTGACCTTTCCCGGGGTCCGTCCAGCTTTCCGAGTTGAATGCGACCGTGGCCGCGAGGGTGCCCCCGGAGTCCCCCAAAGGGCCCCAGTACAGTGGAGGCCCATGCCAAGAAACACCCTGCTGGCCTCCAGGATGCCCTGGGTTTCTTGGGTGTCGATGGTTTTGCTATGAGAACCGTGACGTTCCCACACCAAAACTCAATGGACGTCCTGGGGTTTCAGGATTGGGTTTCTTGTAGAAAGTTTCTTGTGGTCGGGCCCCTACTGTACGGCCAAAGACCTTTCCTCGATCTTCGGTCCTCAGCTCATAACCTCTGGAAGGGGGTCCGAGTGCGGTAGGTTCGCGTCGTGTCGACTGGCAGCGACCCCACCGTCGGCGTTCAATGTTGGACACCGCCGGCGACCCAGGATCGGTCGACGTTGCACAACCCGACGTGTCGGACACGGCCGATCGTTCAAGGTTGAACGATCCTCGCGGCGTCGGAAGTGAACGTCGAAGTCGGCACGACACGAACCCGCCGTAGATGGGGTCGGATGCTCGCGCCGCATGGCCGCTGCGTCGGCGATGGCGCCGTCGGCAGGTGATGGGTCTCCCGCGCCTCCCCCCCCCTTTTGGCGCGCCGCCAGACCGGCAGTGAGCGGGGCCCGGCAGCTTCTGGCCAGAGCGACGGGGGACGGCTTTCACGCGGGAGGGTGCTCGGCGGCATGGCGCGCTCAAGCTTTCCTCCTCCGCCCTCGTCCTCTTCCTTATCCTCCTCCTCCTCCTCCTCCTCCTCCTCCTCCTCCTCCTAGGAGCTGCTGTGGCCTGCAGCGCAGCAGGGGCGCCCACAACACGTGCCACACTGTACATCCAATGGGTGGAGGTAGAAGTCATGCGAGGCGGTGGTCCTAGGCTGGCGTGTTGTACGTGCACGCACTTACCTCCACCCGCAGAGTTCTTTGTGTTGATGGTATTGCGTATCGTTGCGCATAAGGTTGAATGGGCAGACTACGCACGACCGGAGGAAATATCTACGCTCACTCCGACATTTGACATATTGATGCTGAATGGCACGGGCAGAGCAGCACTACACGACGAGGATGTATTACAGACAGGCCTCCCCGATCACACATGCGTGCAATTTGGCTTCCGAAATTTAAGATGGTCCAATCGGTCATGCGGGCTTGCACTGCTGTTCAACTAACAGATGTAGGGCATTCTGCAGCACACCATGTTCCCCCTTCGATCTGGAGATATCTCTGGACGCATCGCGATGGCGAAACTACGCATCGGCTCCGTGTCCAAGGGTACATCGCACACTATTTTGAAAGAGGCTGTCGACAGGTGCATGAAGTGGAGGACAGAGATAATAGACACATTAGGGCATCAATGCATGATCACCGTCGGTGGCGACCTCAATTGCTCCTTCGGCATTCGACGAGACCACGCAGGACGAAACTACTTACGAGCGGATCCTATTGTAGGGTTATCAAACCCTGGAGACGAGCATCTCTCAGAGAGAGCGAGATGCGATGGAGGATAATCATGTGTCAATGTGCAGCAGTGTCTGGGGCACAGGGCCCACATAGTACAATGACAACAGCAGCAACATCGACCATGTCCTCTTGCCTACGGAAAACCAGCAGCGAATTCACAGCGCACGAACACTTCGGCAACTCGGGTGGCGACAATAGAGGAGAGTGACAGCACTCCCCCAGGACCACGTGCCATTAATGATGGGGATCGACGTGCGGATGAAGGCAGCTCATGCAGGAGCACACCACCCACGAGTTGACCGAGGTTCTGTCATAGGAGCTTACATTCATGGACACCTGAGGATTATGTATTTGAAGGTGCTCGAGCGCCTCGCTTCAGATATTACCGAGGACTCATGGCGAGGCGTGTGGGGCCGGGGCGACGTACAAGCAGGATAGGACATGTTGCGCAAGTGTATTCATGGACGTTTGCAGAACGTATTTCTGCAGAAAGTATATCTGCCAGCATTTCCGCATACATGAGGAAGGCATTCATGTCGCTGATGAAGCAGAGGGCTCGGTTGAGAGAACAGATCGGACATTCAAAGAAGGATGGATTGGGTCTTGTGCCGGGGTTGTCCCGAGACAAGGCCCGTGTGACATTTGCCTGCGAGCGGGCCCAGATGGCGGAGTTTGTCATCGCGAGCGCAAAGTTGAACATAATAACTCGCCAATTGCAAGCACTCCGCCGAGCTCATGCCACTCAACTTTGCTTGGTGGCGGCAGGGCAGCTGGCGGAGGCGTGGAAGCGACGTGACTGGTCCCAGGTGCACAGCCTGAAGACGTCTATTGCTGGGGCGGGCCGGGGGCCAAATGATTGTTTTTTTTTTATCCAGCGCGCGGCAGAGCGTGGCGCTGGGGGGGGTAGCGGGTAACGAGAGGATTCGCACAGAAAGCAGAAAACGGAGGACTGGGAGCACGGCCGGTGAATGTGGATGAGATGCAGGCTGATTACCAGTTCCTCCTAAGCAGGTGGTGCCAGGAGAAGCAGTTGAAAGAGCTCAAGTTGACAGGAAAGGTCAGATACAATACTTGCGGCGGGCCCCAAAGCGGAGAGTCTGCCCAGCATGGGGTGTCACGTCAGGGGCATTAGTTTTGGGGAATGGATCGTGAGATTCATTCGAACGATGATGGGGCGCACTATCTCATCCCGCGCATGTTCTCGAAACGGTACAACGACCTCATCGCTCTCATCAGAATGGTCGAGTTCATCATGCCCATGAGCACCGTGCGTTCGTGCGCGTTCTTCCAGCCCAAGCACAGTTGAGCGCGGGGGGTAACAAGTCTTCGAGTGCTGCGCTGCTTCGACCTTGTCGGCGTGGGCTTCCGCGGGCAGATGCTGAAGCGAACGAGACGGCTCACTCCCGGGGATTTCTCGCGCGGAGGGCTACGAGGGCGTCGCCGTGAGGGGTGTATACTAGCATTGTCAGCCGCTGCATGGGGGTGTGGAGATGCGCGTGCATCGCGCGCCATCGCCAACTGCGGCGGCACGAACGCATTCGCGCGTGCATCGACAGAAGCACTGCACCAGCTGCACGAGAGCACGCGCCAGCCAGAGCAATGAGCACCCATGCCTGCAGCAGTCGAGAATGCCACGATTCTCGTGGACGCCGTAGACGGAGAACAGAACTGCGGGGCCGACAGCGTCACGTTGATGGGGCATTACATGGCAGCAGCGGATGTTGTAGACCCCCCCCATCGGGATATGGCCCTGGCGCGATGAGCTCGGGCCAGGGGGCTGCAATTGCGAGCTGCTGACGGGGGTGGGCGCCATATCGGGCGCTCGCGTTGACATTGGCATCCGCGCGTCCATTGGCGACGTATCACGTGTGCATATGCGCCCTTGCAAGCCAGCAGCGCGACGCATAGCCGCGCAGTTGAAGGAAAGAACAGACCTACCGCAATAACAAGTACTGCGTGCGGGGCATCGCTTGAACGAGCACGAGGCAGCGCGCGCGCTGAGAGTCGCGGGGCGCGGCGCTTTTGCGCGCGTCAAGCAGTTGCGCGCGCCGTCGATGGTCAAGGGCGCCGTCGGCAAGGAGGCGCGATTGCTCGGGCCGATCCTCCTGTCCGACGGCGTTCTGCGCGCAGAGTTCAGCAGGGGGGCCAAGGCCGCAACGGCAGGATGGCGGTCGCGAGGGCGCACTTGGCATCGGCAGCTACCGAGCAGACTGCAGGTGATTTTGTTTTTATGTTGCGTATATTCTGCAGCGATATCAGGCCTGGCAGAGTTTGTGTTACCGCGAGAATTCACTGATCTATCGGAAAGCGTGACTGTGAACGTGCATCGGGGGCTGACGAAGGGAAGTGCGTCCAACGCTACAGGAGCAGGATGAGCTAGAACCATGCCGTCAATGAGGGTACTAGAGTTTGAGACTTCGCCCGCGGCAGTCGAGCTTCAGCTGCGGCGTCTCCGGTGGATTCGGAGTATCTCCAGGGGCCCCGCGAACTGCGAGCGCGCCCTCATGGGAGCGTCCGGGGCTGCGAAGCTTGACGGATTCATAGCGCGTCGAAGACTAGACGTCGCGGGCAGGGTGTGCGAGCAGAGTGGCCCGTAGGCAGAACAGTGACTTGCAGATCTGAGCGTGCGAGCTAAGTCCGCCCGCCGAGATGCGCAGGGGGGCTAGCTGCCAGATGGGGGGCGCGCGCCGAACGTAGACCGCGCGAGCGGATGGCGTGGCGCACAAAACATCAAGGAGCTCTTTAGAGATAGTCCAGCAACAGTACTTAAATTTTAAAATGTCAAGCACATGATACGAGCGTGGCTAGAGGTCGCGCGCGACAAAGAATGAGCGGCACGGGGGCGCCTAATTCACGAGGGGGAGGAGGAGTGCGATGGGGGGGTACCTGTGCATGCACGAGATGAGGGGCGGGACTATCTGAGTGGCCTTGCGTGCTGCGATGAAGGCCCTGAGCGCCGGCGTCGCCCTCGCAAGTCAGCTTCGAAACGAGTGCTCGCTTGCCATTAGCGCAGTCACATGTCCCCGGTGCCGGGCATCATTCGCAAGTGAGGCGGCGGCCAAGACGCCGCGAAAGTGCCCGTCCAGAACCGTGT